TATTGGCATCTAAAATATAAACCATGAAATTGTTAAAAGGGCCAAAAAAATCAGTCATCACTTACTCACCCTCATGTCATTCCAAACCTGTTTGACCTCTTTGTTTTGCGAAACACTAAAGAGGATTTTTTTGAAGAACTGTTTTTTTGTCTGGACCCCATTGACATTCATTGATTTTTAAAACCTATTCTTTTGGGTTTCACTGAGTCTTACAGGTTTGGAATGAGGAACTGACCAAGGAATTTTCATTTTTAGGTGAACTATCCCAATTCCAAACACCATAATGGACATGAATACCTACAAATTCACATTGAGCTGCAAGATCATACATGTACATAAAGGCAGGGTATGTGTCATATGCTATAGTGTAATTTATCTGGTAATCCCGGATTAGGGGCATCCCAGGTTAAAAGCACGCACACATCCCGACTGATACGTCACATCAAACGTTTGGTTCTCCGAGCATGTTCCTCAACTGCCCTTCTAATTTTATGGCTATTAAAGGCATATTAAACAATGGCGTACATAAATATGGATCTTTCGAAGCATTGATCTTCGCTTTTAAACATCACAAAGATCCTCCAGTTAAATTTAATGATGGATTTGGGGGCACTTGACCTTTAAAGGATTGATGTCACCATGTGACTTTTCGAGGCTGCATGTAATTGCTTCCACTTTAGGGTCTGTCAGTGACACAGAATAATGAGCAAGTTCTCTGTGTTGTAGGAAGGAACATGGACAACTACTGTTGTTCTATCAGAGGCGTGGCTGTAATTGAGTTATGTAATGCAACATGTTTCCCACGATATTCACCCTTGGTGAACCGGCATGTTGCGAAACTTGTCTTAAGAAAATAAACTGTCTGGATGAAATGACAGGTAATGGAGTCTGCAATGAAGAGATGAGATTTTCTTTTTTTTCTTTTCTTAATTTAAACCTGGAAATGATGTTTTTATCCGAGATATTTGCACTATATATTGCACTGTAAACTCATGTGAACTTTGTACCGGCGGTCAAATTAAATTCTTCCTTTGAAACCAAGATGCTCTTTGGAGCATTGTGAGATTATGCTAGATAACAATTATCAATTTTGGTAAAAACAATGTCAGCTCAAGTACTGATATTTATTCAAATATAGTATTTGCAATTACATTTTAATAGTAAAAAGTAGGGCTGTCAAACGATTAATCGCGATTAATCGCATCCAAAATAAAAGTTTGTGTTTACATAATATATGCAGGTGCACTGTGTATAATTATTTTGTATGTATAAATACACACACATGCATGTATATTTAAGAAAAAAATTATTTATATACAAAATATTTATAATTATATTAGGGCTGTCAAACGATTAATCGCGATTAATTGCTTCCAAAATAAAAGTTTGTGTTTACATAAAATATGTGGGTGCACTGTGTATCATTATTTTGTATATATATATATATATATATATACAGACGAATACATGTAAATTTAAGAAAAAAAATTATATATATAAAATATTTATGTTTATATATAATATAAATTATATATAAACCTATATACAGTATATACATGACAATATTTCTTAAATATATACATGCATGTGTGTGTGTGTTTATATATCTAAAATAATTATACACAGTGCACCCACATATATTATGTAAACACAAACTTTTATTTTGGATGCGATTAATCGCGATTAATCGTTTGACAGCCCTAATTTATATATAATATAAATTATATATAACTCTATACAGTATATACATGAGAATATTTCTTAAATATATTCTTAAATTCTTAAATAAATTAGCAGTAATCTACTTGTCTACTGTTTAACGAGTAGCATTACTTATATCGACCCATCCATTCTCCGAACCGCTTCATTTATATCCAGTTAATTTTATAACGATCATTAATAATCACAACTATAAAAGTGCGTAAATCACATTGTGATTACGAGTGGAATACATCTGGAACACGACGACGAGAAGTAAACAGATAAATGGCCATTTTTAAATGTTTAGAAAAGCCAACAAATCCATAGCAAAACATTTCATCGCTCCACCTGCCAGGAATCACCCAGGGCATGTTTCCCCCTTTAGCAATTCACAAAGGCGGCAATTTGCAATGTTTTTCTGTGAGAACACATTCGTCTATTTTGACAAGCCTGTGTAACACCCCTCCAGTGGGTGTCGAGACCAACTTGTGCACAACATATAATGAGAGCCAGGAATCTATGAGAACGAGTGTTGCACCAACCACCATTAATTAACATATCCTCATTTCTACTGAGATATCAGGTGAATTGTGAATCATTTCAAAAGAAACGTATTTTTAATCCACTGCATGTTTATATTATATTAAAGATTTCCTGAAAAAAATGTGGTAACACTTTATTTTGATGGTCCATTCAGTTGACTATAAGTAACGTTTCACCTGTGTGTCAACTTACTCTCATTATAATATTGTTATTAGACTGCTTAAAGGGATAGTTCACTTTGAAATTATTTTTTGATATGTTTTAGCTTACCTCAAGGGCATCTAAGATGTAGGTGTCTTTGTTTCCACAGTATTTTCAATTTTGATATTTTTAGGTCAAACCGTTTGTGTCTATCAGTCATATAATGGAGGTCTATGGTCACCACCTCAAAGAGCATGCACAGAGAAGTCCAAATTAAACATGATTTAATGACTCGTAAATGTAAGTACACATTGATGGCCTAAGACACGAAACGAGCGGTTTGTGTGAGAAAACGAACAGTATTTATACAGTTTTTACCGCTTTAACGCGCCCGATCACTTGGACGTGGCTGTGGTTGCATGAGGTAAAAACGATATAAATACTGTTCGTTTTCTCACACAAACCGCTCGTTTCGTGTCTTAGGCCATCAAAACTTACATTTACGAGTCATTAAATCATGTTTAATTTCGACTTGAGGTGGTGATGCCTCCATTATATGACTGGTAGACAAGAACGGTTTGACCTAAAAATATCAACTGAAAATACTGTGGAAACAAAGACACCTACATCTTGGATGCCCTTGAGGTAAGATAAAACATATGAAAAATTAAATTTCAAAGTGAACTATCCCTTTAATATCTGCTAACTCTTTATTGTGATGGTCCTCCAACAGACATTCTACTGACTTTAAGTGAGTTTGCACGTCAACTTATTCTAACCCTAACCCTACCAGTTTACTAATACTCCACTAATACTCTAATGAGAGTTAATGTAAGCGCAATGTTACTTTATAGTCAACAGAATGTTAAAGGGAAAGTGAAAACGAAAGTGTTAGTGGTGCTTGTTGGTGTAAAACATTACTATTACAATGTCAAAGGCTGCATCCGAAATCACATTCCCTATTATATGGTAGGCGAAAAACAATATGTGACAAAAGTGTGCTTATGATTAACAAGTTATTATCCCATGAGGCCATGGGAGAGGATTTGTGACGGGCAGCTGGTTGGTCAACATGGCGAATATACAGTAGTACTTCCAGATTACATTCATACTATAGCGGTCGTGAAGTAATTACTTGAAATTTCGGCGTATTTGCGAAGCTAGTGCAGTGTAGCCCTCAAACCGTATTGACTTTATAGCCCTTAATCCTATAATTGTGGACAAATGTGGGCACAGAGGACTCAGGTGTGATCCTAATTTTTATTTATTATAAATGTTATATCACTGTCTTCGATAAAGTTTTGTCTATCCATTTATGGTGTTTTTATTTATTTTGGGGGTATTTTTGAATTTATTTATTTCAAAAAGTACCATATTTTCTATGTAAATCATGCTTATTCTTATGTTTTATTTTTTTAACTACATTAAAATATCATTCCAGTAAGTTCTTAGAGCTAAAACCTAAAAATGAAGTGAATTTGCTGTCACCTGGTGTCTTATTTCGGCTTATTTTAGAATGCTCTAAATGACAGTTTTCCCCATTCATTTCTATGGGTGCCCATTTTTGACCCAAATACAAGATTAAGGCGTTTTTTTTTTTTTTTTCACCCACTTAACATTGTAGAATTGAGTCACAAAAAATATGTGTTCAGGAGGCACACTTAGGAAAAGTAGCCAAGTCTTGTACCGTATTTTTAAAAAATAAATCAAAACTATTTTGCCCACATGAATATGGTTTTAGGGTTAAGTCTTCTGATTGGTTGCTTACTGGTCCAATTGAATCCAAAGCCCTTCACTTTTCTATGGGATTTACCACCCGCTTTATTGACCAAGGGAATCATAAGTCTGACTCCTTATTAAAGCTGAATTTAAGATATGTTTCATGTCTGCACCCCAAAACAAAGTTAAATACTCGGCAAAGCACAGTAATAATGAAACATCATTTCTAAATCACTAGCTAGAAGTTGGTCTCGCAAACACATTAATGAAATAAAGTGAAGCAAAACAACAAATCAAACTTGTCCGATAAGAATTTCTTATTATTCCAATAAAAAATACATTCATACAGAAATATAACAATTTTGCAAAACAATTTCAAATAAAATTCATATAAAGCAAAAAAACAAATAAAAATCTTAGAAAAGTTTTTTTTTCTTCTTCTTTTTCTTTGTTTTTCGTCCTAACTTTTCTGGTTTTATTCTTTTGTACAAATATTCTTTAGACAAGAGGGATTCGTGAGAGAAAAAAAAAACATAAGTGATAGAAAGTGTCGGTCGAAGCAAGCAAATGGAAAACTTGATTAAGGCTCCATTACCACTTGACTAATATTGGCCACTGTTGGAAAGACACAATGTTCTTTGCCCACAAAAAACCCTGGCTGGTCTGATTTAATGGCAGCACAAGCTGCTTCAAGTTACATTTCTCCTCCTGAAACGATCCGTTTCTACGAAGCTGCTCAACATGCAACAGTGTCAAACCTCCATCGCTCATCCAACCAGAGCATGGCACTTCTAAAAGCACAATACTCAAAGAATTCAAAGCATATAACTATGTACAATAAATTTAATCAATTGTTTGGTCCCTGAAAACATTAGAGTTAACATTTCCAATGGCAAAACGACGGCTTTCTCCGCGCGGCGTCCGTGAATGTCCATTGTAAAATGTTGAAAAGGTGTGCGATATATCTTTATCTTTCTGGATGGCTGTGCACTGTTTCCACAATACTGTCGCTGGACTAAAACAACAGCATCCAGACAGGTCAATATCGAACCGCCCGAGTCAGCAGTCTATAGCAGGCAGGGCCTTCAGCAATTCATTACAGAGAGGCAGTACAAGGCAAGGCCTGTCTGACTGGAGCTTGTTAATTACAATAAATCTTTAGGCGTTTTTTTTTGTTTGTTTTTTTCTTTATTCTTGGATACAGAGGACGGGGGGAGTTGGCATTCCACAGACGCTCAAGCCTTGTGTTATACAACGGCCTGTTTTCCCACTTTAAGAGCTTTTCCGCAGCTCCACAGATCTAAAAGCGCATTCCGTAGATACCAAGTCCGTAACTTTTAAGTGCTCTACATTGCAGATTTGACGACATCCAGAAACGTGAGGGCAAATATTAGGGACAAAGAATGAAATCGCATGCTCAAGAATAACAAGATATCTACAAGGGCTTGGTTACAGTGGCTTTGGAAATGGGAAAGGTGCATGTTCATGTGAAACAGAGCCTTAATAAAGCTTTTTCAATCACTTATACAAGACATTTCGTGACCCCCAATCGGAAAGGTCACTTGCATAAGGCACCATTAAGGCCAACAGTGCATTAACATCAGGTAAAATGGAGATAGAAAGAGAGAATTTAGTCCTCAAGATGAAGTATGAAATGGTCACTGATTGAATTTGGAGTGAAGAATGATCGATGCGTTTATGTACAATATTGTAACATTTAACCAATTGTGTTTAGCTGCACTTTATTGGAATCTATTTTCAGTCCCAATTTAAAAAAAAAAAAAAAAAAAAAAAGTACAAACCCCAATACCATGCAACACCTGTTTATGATAGTGAAGTTATAATTGTGTTACATCTCTAAGCACACAGCTTATACAACAGACTACAAATGAGCTTTTGTAGCCTGTCAAAAAAAAAACAAAAAAACAAGCTACCGAACACATTGCACATTTAGTAGCTGCACCGAACACCAAAAAAAAGCCACTTTCATTCAGGACCGAGTTTCCGTCCCCCCTTTAGATGGGGGAAGGGGGTGAAACCATGGCCGCTTCGCCCCCTCCGCAATCTCGCGAAAGAGCCCGGGGGCGTCTGGCAGGAGTTCTCAGTCTCACGGCTTCATTCAGACTTTGCCGTTCTCGCATACCGTGTGGAAACAAAAATGGAACTTGTTTCCCGACACCATTCAGCCCACAGTGATACACTGGTACCCCCCTCCCACCCTTCTTCGCACACGGGACATTCATCCGCTCACGTCAAACAGGTTTCGTTAGGATTTGTTTTAAAAGTACCAGTGTATAGTCCAGGAGTTGTCCCAAAACATCATGCACCATACAACACACCATTCATTCGCTCGTTGTTTTTTTTTGTTGTTTTTTTACAAATTTTTTTTTGTTTGTTTTTTAAATAAATCATCCTCCTCTCTTCGGATTCTTCATACGTGATTTTGTCCATTCCTTTTCCGTTTCAACAACCAGTCAGTCCGCCTTTATCCCGGGGCTCACGGAGGCACAGGATATGGTGCAAAATGGCATGCTTTGGCTGGAACACACTCCCCCCCAGCATTTTTTGTGGGGCCAGGTCAACCAGGAAGCTGGTCTGGACACAACATATCCCCAGCGTGAAGCTACGGCCCGCTCAGAGGTGCCTCTTCATGTGCAGGGCTAGGTGGTCCGACCTGGAGAAACACCTGGAGAGAGAAAAGGTGAAAAACAAGGTCAGGCAGGGGCCACCGGAGCCATAAAGTGTGATGAAAGCTAGAGATCTGTGCATTGCATCACTGATGAGACCCTTGAGGCGAACTTGTGAAACTGGAATAGGTGCCATGAAGGCTAATGAATGGAAAGCTTGGTTACAAGTAGAACCAGAAAGAATTTGGATTTTCGGTGCTTATTTAAAAATAATTTAAAGATTTTTTTTAAATACACCATTCACCATATGCCATCATTTCAGTTTAAAGCCGTCATAGAGTGACACTATAGCTTTAAAAAAAAAATCCGAAGTATTACTATAGATATAATTACTTTACAATAAGTGTTTTTTCCATCAACATTTTTTTTAAAGAATGTGTAATGAAATTCTTTTCCCTGACAATTTCATGTAGCTTCATTTATATATATATATATATATATATACACACACACACACACACATTCCTTTTTATATACAGTACTCAACATTTAAAGCCGATCAAAACCTTTCATCAAAGTTATACATGAATTTTGAACAATACCCATTCTTGTCTTGTCTTGATCCACTTCAAATTTTGTATTATACACACACATTATACACACACAAAAGTTTGTGTTTACATAATATATGCGGGTGCACTGTATAATTTTATATATATATATATATATATACACACACACACACACACACACTTGTGTACATATATATATATATATATATATATATATATGTGTGTTACATAATATATGTGGGTGCACTGTATAATTATATATATATATATATATATATATATTACACATACACACACATGCTTGTATATTATATATTATACATATTATATACACTGTATATAGATTTAAATACAATTTATATTATATATAAACATAAATATTTTATATATAATTAGTTTTTTCCTCAAATATACATGCATGTGTGTGTATTAATATATATACAAAATAATTATACACAGTGCACCCACATATATTATGTAAACACAAACTTTTATTTTGGATGTTATTAATTGTGATGAATCGTTTGACAGCCCTAATGCTGCGTTGTTTTAACCCAAATTTGGGTCAAATATGGACAAACCCAGCCTTTGGGTTACATTTTTAAATTAAATTTCAACCACACGTTTGAGATTGTCCATATATGACCCAAAATTGGGTTAAACCAACCCTGCATTTTTTTTTTGAGTGTATACACACATACACATACATATGTACTGTGTGGGACAACATCATACATGAATTTAAAATAAAATGAAACCAAACATTGTCAGGTTCAGTGTGGGCCTGGATATGAGCAAAGCCTTGATCGAATGGTTTTGTTTTAAGGGAGAACTATGAACAGTTTCGCATCCAGTAACTACAGCAACAACAAAGCAAAAAGGGAAGTTGAGCAAACAATTGTGTTCAAAGCACAAAGCTCTCAGGGAGGGAAATGATTAACAGAGGAAGTGATGACAAACAGGAGAGGCGCGTTTAGTCATAAAACGCAGAGGATATCAATAATGTATTGCGACGGTGTGACTATTGCGCTTTCAAGCATTTAATGCGATTAGGTAATTAAGTGATAAAACCCAAACATAATGGGGCGACTCCCATCGATGAACCGATAAAACGGGATCAATGCTGAATGCAGAAATCCGTCGCATTTCACTGATGCACGCGTCACGCGGGCGAGAGAGACAGACCGTCACAGGGAGAGATAGCGAGACAGAACTGAACGTACCTGTCACAGTGACTGCATTTAAATGGCTTTGCACCGGTGTGCTTCCTGAAGTGTCGGGTTAGCTCGTCGCTCCTCGCGAAGCGCCACTCGCAGCCTTCCCATGAACACCTGTACGGCTTCTCACCTGTAAACAAAAACACCTTTCAGTACATTTTGCCAGGTTTCAGCAGGAAAACGGTCACTATTCACAGGAATGCGGAATGCATCAGTAAACAGGATGCATGTTTATGCATCAGGCTACGAGACGGTCTAAACTTTTAATAAGATCCCTCAAGCTCTCAAGGATTGCGGGAATGCACGGTATGCCAAAAGTCTGTCTCTATGCATAAACAGCATGCAGAACAATGCGTGTCACACAGGGACTGTTTTGAATGCGACGGGGCCCTTTAAAAAAAAAGGGGCCACCCAGATCCCCATTCAAAAGCCTGGTTCTTTCCCATGACGAAACCAAAACTGTTTTGGTAGAGCAGGTTGTTTTCTCCCTGGCCGGTTTTTCGTCCCCTCCCCCATCCGATCCCCCCCTCCTTCCTCTCCACGGCCACATTCCAAACAGATTAGGTCACCGTTTAGGCGTGCAGTCATGCGGGGCAAATATTCACAGAGTGACATTAGCCTTGCAGCCGAGGACAGCCCGTGTGAACTCAACTCCATTACACAACTTCACAGGAGACGTGAAACCTCAGTAAAGTGTGGGAAGTTCCTCTTTATCTGCAATGTCACAACTAAAAGCAAAGGTTTCTTACCTGTGTGAGTCCGCTGATGTGCTTTCAAGTGAGAACTCTTTGTGTAAACCTTCCGGCATCCGTTGAAGTGACACCTGTGCACTCTCCTCCTGCCGTCCGGAGAGGCGTCCCCTCCCGCCGAAGCCTTATCCGAGGCCTTCCCCAGTCCGTTTTGCCGGATCTTGGCCGGCACGTGCGAGTCAGTCTGCGTGGAGCCCCACACCTGCGGGACGCCGGGCTCCTGCGGGGTTTCTGGGGAGGACGGAGGCGTGCTGATGATCGAGGAACTCAAGTGATGCGCCGACTCCGTCAGAACCGAGCCCAGCGGGTTGGAGGTAAAGATGTGAGTGGGCGAGAGCTCCTCCGAGCTGTCAGACGCCTCACTGCTGGCATCCGAATTCATGCTGTTGGTTTCTAATATTTGGCAGTCCTGATTGTCCTCTTCCTTGACTTTGGGAAGGTTGCCGTTCCCATCTCCCTTATCTCCGCAAGCCAAGATGAGCTTGCTCCAAAGGTCCTCCTGGCCCTCAAACTTGAGGTCAGACGCAGAGACGTACGGCTCGCTCTGCAAATATCTCTCCAGCTCCAAACATGTCTGATCCAAAACAGAAAACACAACGTTAGAATGTGCAGGAGCTTCCTCTAACTTTCACAGCTGACTGCCAAGGGTTAGTGTAGGTTAACCACACTCCCACCTGCACTTTCACACACTTTCTACAGAAATATGTACATGTGTGTCATGTGAAAAGAAACATTACAGTCAATAAATCAGTTATCAGAGTATAAATAGGGCTGTATATTGTCTTTCTAGAACAGTTTATCCCCTAGTGAGTCATGAACACATTTCAGAGTCCTTTTAAGGAAGCCACACAACTTCCTCGGTCGAGTTTCCTCATTCAAACAGCCTGACGTCCCTCAGCGTACATCTGGACACGTTTTAAAAGCATTTTAACCCGTATTAAGTGTGAACGTACTGCATTCGAGTGTAAAAGTGATTCAGTAAAGACGTAAAACTGTGTTTTTCCACTCAACATCACCATTTAGCTGTGCGGTTTACGCTATGAACATCCTCGATGATGTTTACCGCGTAAATTTGTCCTGAAAAATCTAATGTTACTGATTCTAAAGACTCAAAATCAGGTAAAACAACCTAAATGTTTACTTATAACGCGATAGTTGTCGTTTATTCAACGTTAGTCCGTTTCTACGAAACGTTAGGCAGAATAACAGTCTCAGTCACCATTCACTTGTGTTGTATGGGAAAAGATGCAATGAAAGTGAATGGTGACTGAAGCGGTCTGTCAGTCACTAGTAGCTTTACATCTCTTTTTGTTTTCAAAGTGATAAATAGTGATACAGGTTTGAAAGAACATGGTGATTGTTGAGGAAATGACGACAGTGTTTCATTTCAGCTGAACTATCCAGTCAGCGGTCTATGCTGGGAAACATTAGGCAAGCAGAACGCATATTTAAATGCCTTGAGATACGTTCATATCTGACTCCATGCCAAAATCCAAAGACGCCTGAGGGGAAACTACCTGGATCAATTTCATGAGAAACATTCACACGACTGTTCAATCACAAGTATATCAGGCTCAAGCAACACAACCTGCTATGACAGTTAATACGCACCTCCTATAAACCCCGTTATGTGACAGAACATGTGCTGCAGACTGTCAAATTAACCAGTCTACGTTTAAAGCACGCGAAAAGGATGCAATTATTATCCTTACTAAATGGCGCGTATTAGGCTACTGATTATTGAGCAATATAGACTCACAAATCGCGACTCTTCAAAAAAAGTAAAAAAAAACGACAACTTTGTATTCCAAAACAAGCGAATATCATAATGTAGATGCACAGCTACATTCTATACGAGTTGACTGACAGCTTTAACCGCGCGACCATGTAACCGAATCAAATACGTCACTTAGAACGTTCAAATGTTTCATTGAGCGCAGCGCCTCGCGGATTGTAAATAACTCTTTCCGATTCCAGTTTAAAGACAGCGAAGTCAAACCAGACGCTGCCCATTCGCCAATCGCAGCGGAAGTTTTATCCAGATCACTTTAAAATTGTTACCTGTTGCCAGTATTCTTCAAGCGATGGCAATGCAGAGAAATAGCCAGTGTCATGAACGATCTGAAGTTCCTGAAAAATGCTGCACATTGGTAGAACATCCATTGCAATCCCAAGTATTAGGCGATAAAAGACAAAAAAATATATAGATGTTGTTGAATCAAGATAAAGTGTAACAAGAAAGCGTCCTCTTCGTGCAATAGCAACGCGGTGCAGCCGTCGCTTTGCTCAGAGTCCGCTAGTCCGTCTGTTGAGATCACTCTATATTTGCAAACACTGAACTCACGCAAAGCGCTGTGCTCTGTCAACTTCCCCTATTCAAACCTCGCAGCCTGCCTACCCCCTCGTGACAACGTGACGTCGACTCACAGCGCGTCCAATCAAACGCTAGCAGCTTGCGCGGGCGCAAATGATATCACCTAGAGCCAATCGCAGGAATACGTCCGCCCCCCGTGCGCTGTGATTGGTTCTATTCAACCGTGAGGTCCAGCGCGCTGATTGGACGTTATTTTTAGAAGTGTATATAAAGGCTCTGAGCTCGAGCCCAGCTCGTTTCTGTTTCTTGACGACGGAGTGTGTATCACACACGCACTCGTTTGGCCAGAGCGAGCGCTGTGTGCAATCGGTTGAGAACTTTAGTGTTCTTTTCCGCGTTGCCTGTTTTAAGCTCTCTAGAGTAACCACTTCAAAACAAAACTGTGGCTTTGGAGAAGTTCCAAGCATTTTTTGAATACCACAAATAAAGTGTACCTATTACTTCATAGATATCAGTGAGATTACAATAAAATGTCTCTGCATTGTTGGCTTATTTTAAAAAGAATTTCTGAAATGTCTAGACTTATAGTTACACTGTCTGTCAATCATGTTCATATAACTTTGTTTGTACATACAAATAACACATTTGGTTTTACTTCTTTTCCATTTGAGAACACATCGGATAATCCAATAAACGAAAGCTCTTAAATAGAAAATAGAAAGAAAATAGAAAGAAAATAAAATTAAAATAAATAGAAAGCACTTATGTTGCTGTATAAAAGAGTGAAATTTGGCTAGTCACATTGCGCATGACTCAGACGTGAAGAACTTGGTCATTCTGGTCAGTTAACAGCCTAGTAAGGACAGCACTGCCCGTTGACTTGTGTCCACTCTTTATAGCTTGTTTGTGGTCTTTCTGGACTAACTGGTATTTGATGAACCTAATCTGTCTGTTTGGTTTACCCGGCCCTAACATAACTTCTTATTTAGTGTACACTAAAAAATGCTGGGTTGTTTCAACCCAAATGTTGGGTTAAAAATGTAATTAGAAAAATTACAGTTTAAAGTGAAATTTGAGGTTAGGTTCATTTTTAACCCAACATTTGGGTTTGTCCATATTTGACCCAAATTTAGGTTGAAACAACCAAGCATTTATTTTAGATTGTAGGCAAAATATGCCAATGGTTTCAAGTTTACAAACACTTGAGTCAAACAGTGCTCAAAAACTATGATAATACCTTAACTAAAACACTAAACTGTGATTGATATGATCATTGTTCAACTGAAACGAAGAGTGGAGCATATTGCATTGTGGAATACTGTATTTTGTAAAATGCACATTTTGGAAATTACAGTAGTATTCTAAGCATACCGTAAACTTGCACACTGCATACTCTTTAAGTAATAATAGTATGGTATTCCAAACATAACCGTGGCATGCAATTTGTTGGGATTCATTCACTTTAACCTGGTTTAGTCGCTTTTTACAAAGTGAATCATTGAATTGAAAAAAAAAAAAAAAAAAAAAAACTGAAGGTGTTTTTCAGTGTAAAGCAAATTTAATAACCATCACACAGATTTTACTCTATAGTGAGATCTCTTGTTTTGCATGAGATCCATTGGTGCATGGGTATTTTCCACATTCAATGAATGGATAATAGATCTGGATGATCGATTTGTTTATGAAACAACCGATTTAGCCTGTACTGAGTCCATCGTTTGTCTTTTTCAACACTAGCGATTCACTCACTCTCAATGTAATCACTTAATCCTCTGGAATGGCTCGAAAATTGAGAGATATCGCTTTTATCGCTTGCAGAAGACATGCGGGTAAAGTTAATTTACACGCTGATCTGGCCTCCCAATCCTTTGAGTTCAGTAGAGATGTTACAAACAACATTTCCAGAACAGAGAGCCATTGTCCAGCACCACAGTATAGTCTGGTGCTAACCTCTGGAGAACTGAGTCCCTATTGTAGCTCTCAGCTGGGGCCATATTTGTAACTCGTAGCATCTGATTCAGTCATATGGTGCTGTCTTTGGAGCTGCAGAGCCTGGCTATGATAGTCATTTCAAGGAATTTTTGAGCTGCTTGTCAGAGAGGGGAAGTGGTGCAACTGTTAATCATTGCCAAAGGTCAGACATTGCGGACAATGGCTTAGTCCAGCCTGCTTTTGAACTGAAAGAGTGCCATTGAGGACAGTCTGTCATTCCGGACCTCAGCGTCTGTCCTTTTAAACCCATTGAAATTGAGTTGCGGTTTAACAGAGCGTTTTAATGTCATGCTTTACACCGCCCTGTGTTAAGCCGATCTGAACGTTTGTGCTGTCATAGCCGAGACCAAACAGAATCTCTGAAGTGAGAGTCATGTGACCCGGTACCCAGTGTGCATTGGAGTGTATGACAACCTTTGGAGTCTCAATACCCATCGACCAATAAACCAAGCGACAACATAGCATCGATGTCGTGCGACAACAAAACAATCCCAACGGAGAGTCGCCACTTGGCGGTCTCTTCATCCCCATTCGTATCGCCCGAGCGCATTATCCAGCGGGATGTTTCATTAAGGAAGTGTCCTGAAAATACTCTGCGGTGGGTCCTGGCAGACTTTATCTCTTTTAGCAAGGTTCTAAACTCTATCATCATTATGCAACCCTCCCTGCACAGTAGCCACAGGAAAGAGCAATTACGCACAGGGTCCATTTTAATACATCAATGTCAGTACGATCAGTAAGTTGTTGCAGGTTGTTCTTTTTCCCTTCTAAGCGATGTGCCATATAGAAGGCCATTTATCCCGCGAGTACCCATCCCTTGATGCGTGCGAAAACAATTATTGGCCGTTCTTTTCAGGAAAAGTTGATACCGCTCGCACGGGTCAGCGGACAGAGAATGGCCGGAAACTAGTCGCTATGCAAATAGACTGAGACACTAATTAGCCTTAATACAGCGCAGACATGGAACAGGCCAAGCATTTCCAATTGGATTTGCTGAAGCGAGGAAACGCACACCAATAGCTGTGTTTTATTAAAACTGGACGTGTGCCAAACCTGTTCATTCTTTCCGCAGAGTCCCCAAAGTGACAGCAATGCTATCAATGCCTGTTTTGTTGGCGGTTACAAACAGTGTCTGCATTTGGGCTCACCTTGTCTAATGTGCCATATGAAAGCACAAGTATAGGCAGTTAATTTGGTGTTCATGACCCTCGCCGACTTATTTAATGCATTTTGTATGGCGATACACAAATTTCCAATTTGAGCGTCCGATAACTTGGGAAACGCACTTGTAATTCAGCGAATCGTCCCTAAACAATTTATTTTACCAGGTGCATGTAATTGAGATGCATTGCTTTTCATAAGGACATTGAGCAATTGTTCAGGCATTAATACAATGAAAATAAATTGATTGATTGGGAATCAATGCAGTGACATCAATCTTTGCCGGTAAAAGAGTAGGAGAGAGAGAGAGACACAAGGAGAAATCAATACTCTTTCTAATGCACCGTGTCATAAATCAGAATTGTCTTACTGTATGCGGTACCTGGCGACGCAAAAGTGATCATTGGCTTCATTAGTCTTTGCACATGGTCTGTCTCTGTTTGCTCAGTCTCGCGGACACTTCATTGAAATTCAGCCAAGGGTGGCATTAAACGATGTGTGTGTCTTTCTTCAGCTCTGTGTGTATTGACGGGCCACCGTGAAGCTGGCACATGACCTTGCAGAGGGCATTACAGCCTTTTATTAACAATTCAAATATTTATATTTAGTAATATTTTTGTCAATATAAAATGAACCAAGATTGTGAATGTGTTTTTATTCGGCCATTAAGTTCCCTAATTAATCCTGTGGCTTCGTGTGTCATGACCCATGAGTATTTAATAGTGTTTCTGATTTAATCCTCATTAATATGCTGTCAGAGCTGAGAGTTGTTTCGTTGAGTTTGATTAATAATTTGCTCGCAGCATCATTTAAAAACGTTTTCCACAATTTTCAATGACGCCTTTTCTGGTTACATGTTATTTCGATGGTCTACTTTAGACATTCTAAATTGTAGAACTAACTCAGCTAAATATTAGTAGACTGTTAGGGTTCAGTTTAGTAGAATAAGTTGATATGGAGCTGCAAAGCTACGTATACAGTAGTCAGTAGAATGTCTGTTGGAAGCATCAAAATAAAGTGTGTGCATATTAAAGGGATACTCCACTTTTTTTTGGAAAAAAACTCCCCCAGAGTTAAAACAGTTGGGTTTCACCGTTTTCGAATCCATCCAGCCGATTTATCTGATATTTAGAAGAATGTCAGTAACCAGACAGTTTCTGGTCTCATTGACTTCCATAGTATATTTTTTTCTTACTATGGTTGTCAATGAGACCAGAAACTGTCTGGTTACTGACATTCTTCTAAATATCAGAAGATCGGCTGAATGGATTAGAAAACGGTAAAACTTAAACGTTTAACCATGAGGGAGTTGTAAAATGAGCCTATTTCCCAAAAAAGTGTGTTTCCTTTAAGCATACAGTCCTATCCGATGGTGAGGATATATAAGGGCCAGGGTGGCACTGACCCACACAGATTGATAGCTGCTCCACCCAATCAAATGACAGAAAATATTTTATATAAAAAAAAAATCAAATGTGTGTTTTCACTACTCACTGCCAACGCATTCTCATGCGTATACATCCAACATGGCAACCTTTAGCATCAATATAATACAACCCGATCTCACGACCAAGTCGTACGAATTCGACGAATGATTAAAAAGTGGCTAATTTGTAACAATTCATACGACCTCACTTGTACGAATTAATACGATTTTGCTAAATCGTACATATTTTACGAGTTGGCCAATTCGTATGAATTCGTACGAATGACCTACCCCTTACCCCGCCCCTAAACCTAACCATCACGTGGGTTTAGACAAATCGTACGTATTTGTACGAGTGAGGTCGTACGAATTAGCCACTTTTTAATCATGCGTCGAATTCGTACGAATTGGTCGTGAGATAGTGTTGTATAATACGCTTCGGTTATGGGTAGGTTTAGGTCTGGGGTAGGGTTAGACCACTAGGA